TTACCATAATTGAAATAATGGATCATTGAAAATGATTCGATCAAAAGTAAGGCGTGGTGTTAGAGATGCTCTATCCGTTTATGAGGAACTTTTAACAGAACAATGCAGAAGTAAAGCAATGACATTAGATACTTTTGTCACAAAAGGCACAACACTGGAACTCGGAAGGCTAACTAAATATTGGTTAGACTGGCTTAGAATTTTATATGTTTTTTCAAGAATATTCGTTTTGTGGTATTAATTTGGGCTTTAAGAAATAAATGTTTTATTTTATTTTTATAAAAAAAAACATACTGTTTAAATTTAATATCTAACCATGTCCTAGTTATCTTCTACTAACCCGAATATTCCATGTAAAGATAGCCTCGCTTAGCGTTGTTTCGCATTACGTTCTACTTTGATAGAACGTTAAGCGAGGTATTACTGTACTATTTTGTTTAAAAGTTATATAATTCAGTCCAATTATCAACGAATTAATAGCTATTCACACAGTAAACTATTCGAACTCTGTGATGATAGGTGCAATGGAACACGAACAAACTTTTACTTAGCAATCTTAGCAACAATGAATATTTCTTACTATACAATTAAGTATTTATATCTCTTACAATAATCATATTTGATTCCTTATAATTACTTGTTTACATCTATTTATTGATTCAAATGTTCATTCAAATATATTTGAACTGCCTTATTTTGACTCTGTTTCAAAACTTTCATAACACCTTGGTAAACTTCCATATTATTTTTCGATTTTTTGAGCAGTTGAATTGCTCCAAGTTGGTGATAAGGAGCAGGATCACCTTCGACAAGTTTTAGGGCGGCTTGCAAACAATATTTGTCACTATTTTCTGATTCATGTGAGCTCAAAAAGGTAGACAGAGCTGTTGTTAAATGTGATAGAACATCGGTGCCATATTGTTCTATTTCGACGTCGATGAAATTTGTTTTTATTTTACCAATAAATTCATTTGCGTCCTCGGATTGCAAATATAAATGTGTAAGTTTTAATTCCAAGTAATTGCTGTAGATTTGTGTTGGTTCGAATATAGACAGAATTTCTGTTAGTCCTTTTTCGAAACTTTGTAAATTATCAGACTGTTGTTTGTTCAAAACCGCACTTTGACATAAAGTGGTGATGAAGTCGAATATCATTACTCTGGATGGATACTCTAAAGGATTTTTTGGGTTTGGTTTCCACCAATTTTCATCCACGTACTGTTTTAAAATATCCTTAAACTGTTTCATTTTTTTGTTTAAATCAAATTTAGCTTCTACAATATACACTGTCATTAACGTGATGAAAGAACTTTGCACTTGACGTGAGTAAGACGTGTTGAAACACCGTGGGAGTAATTTGTTTATAAAATTTTCATCTAAATTGTTAATATTCTTCGTTACGCGTTGCAGAATTTTAGACTTCTCATCATCCAAATTGATTTTATCCTGCGACTCCAAATTGTTGACGGTCTTCCAACAAAGTTCAATATGTTCCTTTAAATAATCCTTGTCGACTTGGTCGAAACTCAGAAGCATGGTGAATATATCTTTATCCTTGGTCGTCAGATCTAAAAATATAGATTTCAACAAATTCCATATTTCCATATCGGGATCACTTGCAAACCAATTAAAAACAGACGTTATTAAAACATTACGGATAGAAGGATGCTTTTCACTGTCCCAGAGTTGTTTTAGCATTTTCAAAACAACTTTTTTGGTACCGATGGCATTGATGAGTCTTATTATGTGTTTCTTTGCAGACACAGGTTGATCAAAGTTGTCGTTGAGGAATTTCAAAGCTTTTGTTTGATTTGTTTTGAAGCACACACTTGTCAATGATCCTAAAGTCAATTTTAAAAAGTCTCCTCTGGAAAATATTCGAAGAGCCTCAAAAGTTTCTTCAGGTCCTGGGTATCTAGACAAACTGGCACCGATTGCTTGCTGTATCGAGTATGTGTACTCATCTTGGGTTTTTACATCAATTTTCTTCTCAATTGGATAAAATGGTTTGGCAAGTTCGTAGAACGTTTGCGAGTCGACTAATAGTGATAAAACTTTTAAAGCGTTTGATCTAATTTTAGGTTTTTCAGCGTTTTTGAACTTATCCAAACAAGCTTGCAAAATCTTTTCACGCATCTCAGGTATATAAATAAATTTTCTATTCTTGACATTTGTTATAAACATACTTATATAATATCGTTCCAAGCCTTTATCAATAATGCTTTCTAAACACTCAAAAATATCTTCAGGCTTTTTAATATACTTATGCAAATCATATATACTGATATCAACCTTTCGCGGAATTATATTTTTAAAATATTCTAAAGCTTCATCATCGTCTGTCATACCGCATCGAATTGAATCAATATCAAATTCCTCTTTGTCTTCGACAAGTTTTTTTATATGATCAACCACCCATTGGTACTTTATGACAGTCATTTTATCTTTGGGGTGCTTTTGATTGAATTCACCGATGGAATATATCAAATTTTGTACTTCACTAGTTGCATTAAAGTCTTTGATAGTGGGCAACATGTTGGCAATATGATCTAAGCATGTTTTTTCATATTCAGCATTGTCTTGCAGAATGTTGTAGCGATAAAAATAAGTAGCTTTAATATATTTGAGCAGATATCCAATGTGTTCGTCGATGGTTAAATTATTTTTTAAATTGTAACGTAAACGTTCCTCTATGACTTTTTTTGCCCATTCGCCACGGGACATGTACCTCCATTCATCTCCGATGTTTATAACACTTATGATTTCGTCCAAGCAATTCCACACGTCGATTTGAAATTTCTGAATGTCGAAACATTGGCAAGTCTCCTTCAACACTTTGTTTTTGAACTTGGAATCTTCGTTTCTGTGTCTTTCGTTTATGTACTTCAACACTTGGACAAGAGCCAGATGGTCCTCGTTTTGTCCACAACACCTTATCATGTACTGGATGAATCTTAGACGTTGGCCTCCATCGTTGGTGACATAAATAAACTCCTTGAATTTAGGAATTGCAATTGCAGGTTTCAGGTAACAATACCACTTTTCCCATTCGTCTTCGTACTTTGTCATATTGTCAATCTTTGCAGCAGCACACTTAGCCTTCAAGTCCACAGGTAAAGATTTCATCAACAACTCGGTTATCATATCATCGTTATCCAAAACATCGCGTTTGTACTTGGTTTTGTAAACATCAAACAAAAATTGTGCGGCGTTCTTCTTAACAAGTATCAACAACTTATGCATATCACCTTGGTTATTGAAGTCTTCAACAAAATCATCCTCAAGTTCTGGACAAAGCCCTAGATAAAACTGACGATATTCCGAATATTTCATACTTGCATGTGTCTGTCGTGGATGCAAAATGTGTAAATAGTGTTTGGGTTTATCCAAAACGTACTGTTTATTTGTTTGCAACAATTTTTTAGTCGTCAAGGCACCAAACTGATCTGGTTTCAACACATCAGACTTGTGGTACATTTCGAAGAACACATCAGGCTGGTTCCATGCCAACTTCTTGATGACACTTTTGTAATCATTGACATTATTGCACAAAGTTTTGCTTTGCAGTAAATATTGTAAAAACTTTACAACAATTTCTGGACGTGTATAATATAGTTTTAACAGAAACTTCTCAGTAACTTTAACATTGTCTTCGGTGATCAATTTGGTGATGCAATCATCACTGCACTTGGGCAAAATATAAAAAGCCCATTTTAAATTGTATTGGGCGCGTAGAATCACAAAAAATGCATCCAACTCGTTTTGATCATAATACTCGGATACAAGATACAAAAATTTGATTCTTAAACTTGTTGAAATATTAGGGAAAACTTGGTTTAATATTTTATCGAAAGTCGGTTTGTGTTTTGTGAAGAACCATTTGGAATCTTTGAACATCAATTGGATCAACTCATTGTCTTCGGATTGTAGTTTCTGCAGGAATATATCTTTGATTTCGAATGTGGTCAATAGTTTTGCCCATAACTTTTTTTCTAAATTGTCTTTGGGTTGGAACGAATTTAGAATTGTGATTTTTTGTTGATTATCATAGGTTGAGTTGGAGACTTCTTTAGTGATTTGGTTAATTAATTTGTACCTGTCGCCTAAGGATTTGCCATCGAGTTGTTGAATGGAATTTAAGATGTCCATGGTCACCTAGAAAAGAACATAAATTCTTTATGAATATCATAAATAGTAAACAATTTGTATAATAAATATGTAATTTGTGAAACAAAATTAAATACTTCAAAATCGACATCAAAACCAGATATTTTATCCACCAAGTGTACAATTAATAACTTCCCAAATAAGTTGTTTTCACAAAAAAATCTGATTTGCTATATGTATGCTTTCTCGACGTTCCACGTCATTCTGAATCGTTTGAGACCAAAATTGGAAAAAAATGTGTGTGTTTGGTAAAGAGTCAAAATTTGAGATTTTTATGACCTTAAAAGTCAATCGGTGTAACTCTATGAGGATTCACGTTTATTAGTTTTTTTGACACGATCGGTCAAGCCGTTTTTTTGTAATTACTATAAAAGTGCAAAATTGGACATACACGTTATAGCCCAAAACATTGGCTAGTACTGAACCGATTTTAAAAATTCAAAAATTGTTTAAAATTTTTATTTGTTGGGAATTTTTATTTGTTGTTTTTGGTGAAGATCTGCCGAGCCGTTTCTTCATAATTCATTGTTGAATTTTGAATGATATGATTCTGTTTTATGATAATATAGTTTTTGGTCTTAATGCTTATTGTAAAATATTATAGGCGTAAGAAAAGTGATTAATGGTACTTTTCTAAGGCCTATAACATCTTACGATTGTCGTAAAAGATTATAGGCCTATGAAGAATGCGATCAATGCCATTTTCCAAGGCCTCTGATATTTTACCATGATATCGTAAAATATTATAGGCCTAATAAAAGTGATAATAGTATTTTTCTAAAGCCTGCTATCATTATAAACATTCTACTATTGTTGTAAAAAATTATAGGCCTATGGAAATTGTGATCAATGCCATTTTCCAAGGCCTCTAATATTTTACCATGATCATCGTAAAATATTATAGGCCTAATAAAAGTGATAATAGTACTTTTCTAAGGCCTAAAACATTTTACCATGATTATAGTAAAAAATTATAGGCCTATGAAAATTGTGATCAATGCCATTTTCCAAGGCCTCTAATATTTTACCATGTTTATTCTGATTTGACATTATTTTACTTTTTCCTAATATAACAATTTTAACTAACTATTTCCTGACAAAATTCAATAAATATTATATTTGCTTTCTATAAATGAATTGAAACATATTATTTTTTGTTTTAACAAATTTATATTTGGCAAAAAATAATGCAAAAAGTAATAATTTCTATATATATAATATAGAAATTATTATTTGACATAATTTGTATTCCATTCGTCGAATTAAAAAACGCAAATTGAATTTCAATTTTTTATATTTTATATATTTCTACGTTTCGAAACTTGATGTGTGTCATCATTCAGAAAATTTAAAATACATTTTTCACAATGAATATATTTATTCAAATATTAAAACCATAATTAACAATCTAATAGATAGAAAGAAATATTTTTAATGTACAATAATTTTTTTTTCATTATGAAAAATGTATTTTAGATTTGCTAAATGATGACACACATCAAGTATCGAAACGTAGAAATATATGAAATATAAAAAAACTGAAATTCAATTTTCAATTCGACGAATGAGCTGCAAATTATATTAAATAAGTTTCAAGGTCCAAAAAACAATCAATATTATAATTAACAATTATTATTATTGTAAATGTTAAGCATGAAAAAAATTTCAAAAATTTTGCAGGGCGTCGAAGTTCCAATAAAAAATGACACGAATTTTCACTTAATTATACCTAAATTTTTTTTTTTAATTTTCAAAATTTTCTCCATGTTATTTCCATACAAAGTTTGATTGAATTGCGCACCATCTAAAAGTTAATATTAAGAGCTAAAACTTTCAGATAATTGTTTTTTATCAGTTTGGAATTATTTGAGCTCTTGGGAGCAAGGAAATTCAAAATGACCATATTAAGGACCACCCTAATATGTATATATATACAACAAAACATAAATTTACCTCCAAGTTTACACGTAATAAAACTACTTGTAATTTTATTTTCACATTATTTTAATTGTACTAATGAAATTTAATTAATCACTCAATTAATTATCACTAATAATATTTCACAAATAATTGATTATAAGAATTTCTGTAAAAACACTTCTGACTAAAGTGCCCCCAGAACGATGAATGGAAATTCTGAATTCACTTTGGAGACTTTTATAGAAATGTGACTCATTGTAATAGATATGAGGTAATGTGATGCAATATGTCTGTTCAATCATTAATACTGATAAAATCTTGTATATTTTCAATCGCTATTTTAAAGTATACCGAGTTGGTGTAGAATGTTACAATGTTATAAAATATTGTAGGTTATTCAATTTTGTACAAATTTAGTGAATATTTCATTTTAATTGAGCGAACGGTTTAAAAGATACAAGAGTTGTAATAAACAAGTGCACCTAAACAAGTCGTCGTACTATATATAGTACAGCGGGTCAATTATTGTAAAGATGTTGTCACGCCAAATGGGGGCATGTGGGGGCTCATTTGAAAGGTCTCGATGAGCCCTATACGAAAATCTATGTGATAGACTCTATAAAGCAATAGGGTTCCGTACAAGATAAATAACTAAGAGCCATATTGTAATTTCGATCTAGATTTTAAAGTATACCAAATGGCTGTAGGGTTTGTAATGTTAGAAAATATTGTAGGTTATTCAATTTTGTACAAATTTGTCGAATATTTCTTTTTAATTAATCGAACGGTTTAAAAGTTACAAGAGTTGTAATAAACAAGTGCCCCTAAACAAGTCGTCGTACTATATATAGTACAGCGGGTCAATTATGGTAAATATGTTGTCACGTCAAATGGGGGTATGTGGGGGCTCATTTAAAAGGTCTCGACGAGCCCTATACGATGGACCCCAAAAAGCAATGGGGTTCCGTACAAGATAAATAATTAATTTATCACGTGTTTAGACGTGAAAAGATATCACATGTAAGGTGATATCTTGATAAGCAATTTTCAATGGTTGTTTGTTTCTGTGATGAATATTCACATAGCAATAGTAAGAACAAACCAGCAAGATAAGGCTTAATAATAATAAGAAATTGCAGTTTTGAAGTATCGTATTTCGTACTATTTTCAAGAGCATTTCTTAATTTTGCTTAATTAATATCAAGTACTTAAATTTTTACCAAATATCGAGTTTGGGTCGCTCAATTTTTCTCAATGGAAAAGAATTTAATCGGTACAGAGTTCAATAACACATATCAAAAACATTTTATATTTGAGTCTTTGTTTAAACTTGATCCTTGTTGTGTTTAGACGTGAAAAGATATCACATGTAAGGTGATATCTTAATGAGAATTAAAGTTTAGATCTGAATTTTGAAGTATACCGAGTTGCTGTAGAGTCTGTAATGTTAGATAGTATTGTAGATTATTTAATTTTGTACAAATTTGTCGAATGTTTCATTTTAATTAAACAAACGGTTCAAAAGTTATACGAGTTGTAATAAACAAATGCGCTCAAGCAAGTTGTCGTACTATATTTAATACAGCGGGTCAATACTGATAAAGATGTTGTCACGTCAAATAGGGGCATGTGGGGGCTCATTTGAAAACTCTTGAAGAGCCCTACATGACGGACTCAATAATACAATAGGGTTCCGTATAAATTAAATAACTAAGAACCATATTATAGTTTAGATCTGGATTTTAAAGTATTCCGAGTTGCTGTAGAGTCTGTAGTGTTAGACAGTATTGTAGATTATTTAATTTTGTACGAGTTTGTCGAATGTTTCAATTGATCGAACGGTTTTTAAAGTTATAAGAGTTGTAATAGACAAATGCACCCCAACAAATCGTCGTACTATATATAGTACAGTGGGTCAATACTAATAAAAACGTTGTCACGTCAAATTAACTTGGTTCAACGTTGTCTCGAAGAATTAACTTGGTTCTAGATATCATGCAAATTGGAGCACAGTAAAAGAGTTCACAAGTTACAGCCTTTTTTCTCTCCATTTACTGCACTAATTTAGTTGATCGTAGATTGAATAGTGCACATATGAACAAGATTTGACAAATTAATTCACATGAATCACAAAGGCAGGACATTAAATAGAATATTATAAAGTATAGGTTGGGATATTAAAAATTGTTGGAGTTTTTGAATTGTAGACGTGGGTACAGTACGTCTGTTGGGTCACCTAGTATATATATAAATAATAAATGTTGCCTTGAAATTTAAAAGAAATATTAAAGAATTATTCTAAATACTTAAAAAATTAAAAATAATCATTATGCAAATAAAATTTTAAAAAATTAGAATGAAGACAAAACATAGCAAATTCAAAAATTAAATATACTAAATAAATTTTGTGTGAACATATTAACATACGTATTAATATAATAAAAATTTTGATATTAACAATTTATGAACCATATTTATAGTTATTCAAATTACAAATTTATTCATCATAAAAGCATTTATTTAGTAAAAGTTTTTTTAATTTAACCCGATAGTTGTCCTTTCTAGTCGTGATATATTTTTAACATAATGAATTACTATTTTTCCCTTTCACTTCATATATTTTTGATTTATAATCCCAACATAAATTCTGATATCAACACTGCTTGATATCAAGCTGGGTAATATAGAGTTACAAATAAATTCAGCAAATCCTTTAAGATTTATATATGAAAAAATTAATCATACTTCTTTATTTGTATATAGATATATTGCCAAATATAGGTAGTTGATAATTTTTTTATAATTTAAGAAATTAATGATTTAGTACTTTTGACTTAATTATGATTTTCACTTCATATCATATTTTTTATTTATAATCCCAACATAAAATCTGGTATTAATACTGCTTGATATCAAGTTGGGTAATATAGATGTTACAATTAAATTCAGCAAATCCTTCAAATGATAATATCAATCATACTTCTTTGTTGGTTTATAAATATATTGCCTAATATAGGTAGTTAATAATTTTTTTTATAAATTATTGACTTAATTATGATTTTCACCTCATATCATAATTTTGTTTTATAATTCCAACATAAAAACTGATATCAATATTGCTTGATACCAAGCTGGGTAATAAAGATATTACAAAAAAAATATTATAAATAAAAATATATTCACCAATTTTTTTGAGATAAAATTAATCATATTTTGTTCGTTTATTATTATATTGCCAAATATAGGTAGTTAATAAAAAATTTATATAAATTTTAAATTATTTTTTCAAAATTCAAAATAACGGTCACTTTTCTATGCGGTTACACTACGTTTCAATTTGACAGCTCGTATCGAATTCGGGTAACACTAAGCACGTGGGTTCATCGAACTGTCAGCTGTCAAATTCTAATTGGATTTTATTCCTAAACTGATATAATTTATCAAATAAAATGTGTAAAAATAATTTTATATCATTTAATATTGCGCACTTGGTAAATCATAATTTGGTAATAATATCAATGTAAATAAAAATATAATTTATTAAAGTTGTAAATTATTTGTTTAAAATACTTACTTTGATTCTTCAGTTTTCAAATTATATATGCACAAAACATAATATACACTGAATTTTTTAGCAGATTAATTTTGCAATATTGTGCAACTTATTTAATACAACTTTGCACATTTAACTATTGAACTTTTTCCAATAATTTGTTTTCTTCTAAGTACTTGATAAGATAAGACATTATCTCTATATATATACGGATCAATATATATGTAAAATATTTTATAATATTAAATAGTATATCAAAATTTTATTCTTGGCCGTGAAAAATATTTTTATTCTATAAGGTAATTGTCGATTTATTCTCTCCGAAATGCTTTTGTAAATGAATGAGAGATACATATACAATTAAAGCAAATAATACATCCACGAATTTGTATAAATATATACATACACATATCATACATATTTGATTTTATAACCTTGGGAATGCCAATTGGAATCGAATATGATTCATTCGTATGTGTCACGAAATAACATTTAGATACAAAAAGTTCGTCATGCCATGGTAATTTTTTACTCAAAACAATAGTGTTACATGACAGTTTTTATTTTTTATTTGGTAAGAACACATAGATTAAATCGCTAACACTTATATAATATGTTTCTATATAATTTTGTGTATTTAGTTTAACCAAAAACTGTATTGGAATATGTAGTTTGTGTGTGTTAATTTGTTTTCGGTTCGCCGGTCGACGCCCATATTTATTTTTGTTCTATTTTTATTCGAGTGAAGAAGTGTTTGTACTGTTATAATAAAAAAATTATAAAAACGTATTATTATAAAAGTGAAATATAATATAATTGAAAGAATATAGTTACTGCACCATAGTCGCAAATAAGCGAATGAATTTCCTTATGAGCTAAATTAAGTTTAAAGTTTATATTAGACTAGTGAAATAAACCAGTGTTAATAAAAATAGTGTTCATAAAGTGATTCCTGTGTCTATTATGGAGATCTTAAATTCCATTCACCAACTCGATGGCAAATCCTTAGGCGACAGGTACAAATTAATAAACCAAATCACCAAAACAGTCTACAACACAACCTACGATACTCAACAAAAAATTACAATTCTAAATTCGTTCCATCCCAAAGACAATTTAGAAAAAAAGTTATGGGCAAAACTATTGACCACATTCGAAGTCAAAAGTGTATTTCTGCAAAAACTACAGTCCGAAGACAACGAGTTGATCCAATTGATGTTCAAAGATTCCAGATGGTTCTTTACAAAACACAAACTGACTTTTGATGAAATATTATATGAAGTTTTTCCAAATATTTCTACAAGTTTGAGAATCAAATTTTTGTACCTTGTATCCGAGTTTTATGATCAAAGCGAGTTGGATGCATTTTTTGTGATTCTACGCGTCCAATACAATTTAAAATGGGCTTTTTATATTTTGCCCAAGTGCAGCAATGATTGCATCACCAAATTGATCACCGAAGACAATGTTAAAGTCACCGAGAAGTTTCTGTTAAAACTGTACCATGCACGTCCAGAAATTGTTGTAAAGTATTTACAATATTTACTGCAAAGCAAAACTTCGTGCAATGGTGTCAATGATTACAAAAGTGTCATCAAGAAGTTGGCATGGAATCAGCCTGATGTGTTCTTCGAGATGTACCACAAGTCTGATGTGTTGAAACCAGATCAGTTTGGTGCCTTGACGACTAAAAAATTGTTGCAAACAAATAAACAGTACGTTTTGGATAAACCCAAACACTATTTACACATTTTGCATCCACGACAAACACACGCAAGTATGAAGTATTCTGAGTATCGTCAGTTTTATCTAGGGCTTTGTCCAGAACGTGAGGATGATTTTGTTAAAGACTTCAACAACCGAGGTTATATTAGTTTGTTGTTACGGTTTTTCAAGAAGAACAAAATACAATTTTTGTTTGATGTTTACAAAACCAAGTACAAACGAGACGTTTTGGATAACGATGATATGATAACCGAGTTGTTAATGAAAGCTTTACCTGTGGACTTGAAGGCTAAGTGCGCTGCTGCAAAGATTGAGAATATGACAAAGTACGAAGACGAATGGGAAAAGTGGTATTGTTACTTGAAACCTGCAATTGCAATTCCTAAATTCAAAGAGTATATTTACATCACCAACGATGGCAATGAACGTCTACGATTCGTCCAGTACATGATCAGATGTTGTGGACAAAACGAGGACCATCAGGCTTTTGTGCAAGTGTTAAAGTACATAAACGAAAGACACAGAAACGAAGATTCCAAGTTCAAAAATCGAGTGTTGAAGGAGACTTGCCAGTGTTTCGACATGCAGAAATTCCAAATCGACGTATGGAATTGCTTGGACGAAATCATAAGTGTTATAAACATTGGAGACGAATGGATGTACATGGCTCGTGGCGAATCTGCGAAGAAAGTCATTGAGGCACGTTTACGTTACAATTTAAAAAATAATTTGAGCATCGACGAATACATCGGATATCTACTGAAATTTTTTAAAGCTTCGTACGCTCATTGCTACAACATTCTTCAAGACAATGCTGAATATGAAAAAATATGCATTGATCACATTGCCAACATGTTGCCCACTATTAAAGACTTCGATGCAACTAGTCATGTATTTAAAATGCAAGTTACTGTTAGTACTTTCAATACTAAACATCCGAAAAATAAAATAACGATTTTGAAATACCAATGGGTGGTTGATGAAATTAAAAAGATCGCCGAAGGCGAGAACCTGATTGATATTGAATGTGCTAGACGTAACATGATAAACGACGATGAAGCTGTAGAATATTTCAGACATCTAATACCTCAAAAGATTGAAGTAACTTTATACAATTTGCATAAGTATATTAAAAAACCTGAACTAATTTTTGAGTGCTTACAAAAAATCATAGATGAAGGTTTGCAAGTTTATTATGTCCAGAGATTTTTAACGCTGGTTAGTAATAGAAAATTTATATACATACCTGAGTTGCGTGAGAGAATTTTGCAAGCTTGTTTGGATAAGTTTAAAAATGCTGAAGAACCTAAAGGTAGGTCAAGCGCTTTGAAAGCTTTATCGCGTTTAGTCGACTACAAAACGTTCTACGAACTTGCCAAACCATTTTATCCAATTGAGAAGAAAATTGATGTAAAAACCCAAGACGAGTACACATACTCGATACAGCAAGCAATCGGTGCCAGTTTGTCTAAATACCCAGGACCTGAAGAAACTTTTGAGGCTCTTCGAATATTCTGCAGAGGAGACTTCTTAAAATTGACCTTAGGATCATTGACAAGTGTGTGCTTCAAAACAAATCAAACAAAAGCTTTGAAATTCCTCAACGACAACTTTGATCAACCTGTGTCAGCTAAGAAACACATAATAAGACTCATCAATACCATCGGTACCAAAAATGTGGTTTTGAAAATGCTGAAACAACTCTGGGACAGTGAGAAGCATCCTACTATTCGTAATGTTATAATAACGTCTGTTTTTAATTGGTTTGCAAGTGATCCCGATATGGAAATATGGAACATGTTGAAATCTATATTTTTGGATCTGACGACCAAGGATAAAGATATATTCACCATGCTTCTGAGTTTCAATCAAGTCGATAAGAAATACTTGAAGGAACATATAGAATTATGTTGGAAAACTGTCACCAATTTGGAGTCCCAGGATAAAATCAATTTAAATAATGAAAAGTCTAAAATTCTGTATCGCATAACGAATAATATAAATGTTTTGGATGAAGATTTTGTAGACAAATTACTCCCACAGTGTTTTAACACGTCTTACTCAAGTCAAGTGCAAAGTGCTTTCATCTCGTTGATGGCAACATATATTTTGGAGGCTGAATTTGATTTAAACAAAAGAATGCAGCAGTTTAAAAATATTTTAAAACAATACGTGGACCAAAATTGGTTAAAACCGGATACCAAAAATCGCTTTTTGTATCCACACAGAACAATTGTATTCGACTTCATTACCACTTTATGTCAAACTGCAATATTGAACAAACAAAAATCTACAACTTTACAAAACTTCGAATCGAGCTTTAAAGAACTTCTATCCATATTCGGGCCAACACAAATCTACAGCGATTACTTGGAATTAAAACTTACTCATTTATATTTGCAATCTAAGGACGCAAATGAATTTATTGGTAAAATAAAAACAAATTTCATCGACGTTGAAATAGAACAATATGGCACCGAGGTTCTATCACATTTAACAACAGCTTTGTCTACATTTTTGAGTTCCAACGAATCAGAAAATAGCGACAAATATTGTATGCAAGTTGCACTAAAACTTGTCGAAGGTGATCCTGCTCCTTATCACCAACTTGGAGCAATTCAACTGCTCAAAAAATCAAAAGATAATATGGAAGTTTACCAAGATGTTATGAAAGTTTTGAATCATAGTACAAATGGTGCAGTTCAAATATATTTGAATGAACATTTAAATAAATAAATAGAAATATTTATATAAATAAATATATACGGGTACTTATTAAGAATAATATGGTTTTGTTGTGAAATGTATTAATCATGTTAATTTAATTATTATGTTATACTAATGAAGAAATTTTTAATTTATTTAATATATGAATAAAATTTTAGTTTAGTATCCAAGTATATTAATTTTAATCATTAGAACATTTATATATATATATATATATATATAAGATTTTCAGATAATTTGAAACATTATCGGGCGATTTACAACATTTTCAGACAAAAGTTCTAAAGTTTCAGACAAAAATTCTAAAAAGATCAGACAACTTTCAGATTCAGATAATATAATTAGTTAAATTTTAGACTATTCAGAAAAACTTCAGACAATTTACTACAATTATTGACATTCTATAGCAATTTTATACAATTTACAACACTTTCAGACAGTTTGCAACATTTTTATACAACTTGTAACAGTTTCAGACATTGCAAGTGCAACATTTTCGGACAGTTTTTTTTTATTTTTATACAACTTGCTGCATTTTTATACAACTTGCAACATTTAGGGATAACTTGCGACATTTGGGGACAACTTGCAACATTTGGGGACAACTGGCAACATTTTTATACAACTGGCAACATTTTTATACAACTTGCAACGTTTTTATACAACTTGCAACATTTGGGGACAACTTGCAACATTTGCGGACAAGTCGCAACATTTGGGGACAAGTCGCAACATTTTTATACAACTTAGTACAACAGTTTCATACCACCTGGTGTAACATTTTTAAAAGACCTGGTGCAACATTTTCATTCAACCTGATGCAACATTCTCAGACAACCTGATTCAACATTTGGGGACGACCTGATGCAACTGTTTTAAACAACTTGATGCAACATTTTCAAACGACCTGATGCAACATTTTCAAACGATCTGATGCAACATTCCCAGACAACCTGAAGCAACATTTTCAAAAAACCTGGTGCAATATTTTTAAATGACCTAGTGGAACATTTTCAAAAAACCTGGTGCAATAATTTTAAATGACCTAGTGGAACATTTTCAAAAAACCTGGTGCAATATTTTTGAATGGCCTAGTGCAACATTTTCAAAAAACCTGGTGCAACATTTTCAGACAATTTGATGCAACATTTTCAGACGACCTGATGCAACAATTTCAAACGACCTGATGCAACATTTTCAAACGACTTGATGCAACATTTTCAAACGACCTGATGCAACATTTTCAAACGACCTGGTGCAACATTTTGAAACAATCTGGTACAACATTCTCATACAACCTGGTACAACATTTTCAAACGATCTGACGCAACATTTTTAAACAACCCGGTGCAACATTTTCAAACAACCTGGTGCAACATTTTCAAACAACCTGGTGCAACATTTTCAAACGACCTGATGCAACATACTCATACGACCTGTTGCTACATATTCAAACAACCTGATGCAACATTTTACAACAATATAAGATTCCTCTCTGTAATTTTTTCTATAATATTTAATGCAGAATTGTGGGAATAGATGCAGTAGAAGTTTTACTTCGAAAGTGGATAATAGTCTTTAACAAAAATAGTTGTTTCTTACCTATTAGTCGAGTGAGTTTATGTAGATTGTTATCCAATAATAGTATAACATTTAGACTAACAATTTATATAAAAAACAAATCGATTAAATCCATTTTTATCGTTTTCAGATACTAACATCTGTTCATCATGGATGTTTGCGAGCAACTCCAAATGTTAACAGGCAAACATTTACCTGACAGGTACAAAATAATAAATAAAATCGTACAATCTGCCCTTAAATTTGAACCAGAACAACAACTAAACATTCTTGAATCTTTCGAACCTAAAGACAACATAGAAAAAAAATTATGGGTCAAACTTTTGACCAAATTTGAACTTCCTGACGTCTTCTTACAAACTTTAAAATCTGAAGATCAGGAGTTGATTGAAATACTTTTATCCGATGCAAAATGGTTTTTTACCAAACACCAATTAAAGTGTGATGAAATTTTGCAAATGTTTTTCCAAATATATCGACAAGTGTTAGGTGTAAATTTTTGCATTGCCTTTACCAATATTATGGAGAAAAGGATTTGAATGATATTTTTCTTGCTGTACGTGATCAATATAATTTAAAATGGGCTTTGCGTTTGTTGCCAAAATGTAGCTCGGAATTTGTTCTAACAATTTTAACCGAAGAGAACATGTGTGTGTCTGAAAAGTTACTGATGAAGATTTATCATGAGCAACCTGATACTGCTGTAGATTATTTAAAATACTTGTTAAACCATGACTTGCAAATTAATTCATACACCAGTGTGATCCAAACATTGGCACGTTTTCAACCAAATGCGTTTTTTGATTTGTACGACAACACAAATGTTATACAAGTTCCAAGACTTGGAGCTGGTACTACAGCAACTTTGATCAAAACCAACAAAAATTTTATTTTGGATAAACCTGAACACTACTTCAAAATTTTGCACCAAAGGCAAGTGCACGCAAGTTTTGATTATGCTGATTACAAAAAGTTTTACTTAGGTTTATCCCCAAAAGACGAGGACGAGTTTGTGAAACAATTTAACAGGCGTGGTAGAGCACACTCGTTGTTGCAATATATGAAAAAGAATAAACTTGAATTTTTAATGGACGTGTATAAAACTTTATTCGAGCGTGATTTACTGGATAACATGTCTTTGTATACGGAAACTTTAATGGACATCTTACCTTTGGACTTGAAAGCCAAGTGTGCCTTGAAAGTTATAGAAAATTTACAAACTTTACATCGCGGTTGGGAAAAATGGTACTGTTACATAAGTCCTGATGTAGCACTGCCTAAATTCAAAGAATTTATTTTTATAGCAACTGAAGCTGATGATAGACATACATACATCCAGTATATGATCAAATGTTGTGGTATCAACAAGGATTTAGATAGTTTGTTTAAGGTTTTGCAGTACATCAACGAACGTCATCGTAACGAAGATGCAATTTTCAGAAACTCTGTTTTAAACCAAATTGCTGATAATTTTGATTTAAAAACAATTCCTGGAGATATTTGGATACTTATTGATGAAATCATATCTTTGATCAACTTTGGTGATGAATGGAACTCTGTAGCTTGTGGACATTGTAAAAAAATTATAGCAGAACGTATAAGATACAACTTGGTGCACGATTTGCCTATAAAACAGCATATTGGGTACATTTTGGAAGTCCATAGGGCTTCACACACTTACAGTTTTAATATTTTAACAGACAACCAGGGTTTTGAAAAGACTTGCATTGAATCCATTATCAATTTATTACCTGAGACAATTTTTTTGACGCGTTTGATCACAGTTTGAAAATCCTGGCGACTATTAGGAATTACAATGAAAGGTATCCTGGAGACAAAATGAGTGTCATCAACTACACTTGGGTGAAACATCAGATTATCCTGATGATTAAAAGCAACAGGCCGAATTTTGTTGATTTGGACTTTAGTCACGATCTTGAGGCTTACAAGTACTTCAAAGCTATGATGCCTCCAGAAAAACTTGAAGTCAAAGTGTATAATTTGCATAAATTTATCAAAAAGCCTGATGTGATTGTACAATACATCGAGCAAATTCTTGGTGATGGTTTGGAGTTTAGCACAAAAAGTTTTTTGCGTTTTGTTAGAATGAGGAAGTTTATTTATATACCAAAAGTACGTTCACAAATCATCCAACATTGTTTGGATAACTTCCATACAGCTCCTGCGCCTAAAACAAGAGCAAATGCTTTGAAAATTTTGGCACATTTGGTGGACGCCAAAACATTTTACCAATTGAGCACTCCATATTTTCCTTTAGAAAAAAAATTGGATATCAAAAACACGGATTTGATTACTTATGCGATACAACAAGCCATTGGTGGTTGTATTAAAAATTATTACAAGTCCCAAGATTCTTTTCCAGCACTTTTAGTATTCTGTCGTGGTGACTTTTTGAAGTTGACAATAGGTTCTTTGACGAGTGTTTGTTTAAAAACAAACCAGAACAAAGCTTTGACATTTTTGAATGACAACTTCGACCAACCTGTTTCGGTTAAAAAACATTTTATAAGACTTATCAACACTGTTGGACCCAAAGAAAACATTTTGAAGTTGCTTAAAAATTTGTGGCTTGTTGAAAAAAATCCGTCCATCAGAAATGTCATAATAACCTCAGTGTTTAATTGGTTTGCTAACGATCCTGATGCTGATATTTGGGCTTTACTAAAATCCATATTTTTGGATTTAACCATCAAAGATCGTGATATTTTTTCGATGCTGCTAAGTTTTCAAGAAGTCAGTGGTTTGTACTTGGAGGAACATATAAAACTTTGTTGGGAAACTGCAGTGCAATTAGAACAACGTGAAAAAATTATTTTGGATCACGAAAAACAAACTATACTCCAACGTATCACCAACAATATAACAAAATTTGATAAGGATTTCTTGAATTCCATAGTTGCTATCAGTTTTAAAACAACCAACAGTGTTGGTATGCAAACCAAGATGCTGGAATTTGTAGCCAAGTATGTTCTTGTTGCAAATTTGGACTTGCAGGAAAAATTAGACAATGTTAAAAGAGTTTTTGGTGCTTATGTTGACCTAAACTGGTACACGAGAGATGTTAAGGAATATTTTGTATATCCATGTCGCAAAACAGTGTTCAAATTTCTATTGCAACTAATACACAAAGCTGTACCTTTAAAACAAGTCGACACAACTTTGCCAAATTTTGTTGCATGCCAAAACATGATTTTAAACATCCTAAAACCTGCACAAATATACAAACAATATATAGAACTCGAACTGGCACAACTGTATCTAAAATCTACCAATACAAATCACTTTATCGATTTACTGAAACCACAATTTTTAGACATCCAACTGCAACAATTTGGACCAGAAGTTGTGTTGCATTTACCTTATGCCATTGCAACTTTTTTCAAAGTTTTTGAAGCAGATTCGTGTTCCAAATGTTGCATGTTAGTTGTGGAAAAGTTGTTGTCAAATAAGCCCAGTGTGCATGATGAAATCGTTGCTATAAAGTTGATGCAGAAGTCTTTGGAGACCAAAAGTATGTACGATGATTTGGTGAAAAAACTTGAAGGGAGCTCCAATGTTGCTGTTCAGGTGTTTTTGAATGAACATTTTAATCTATGATGGATGAAATTGAGATTACATTTTTTTGTTTAGTTTAAGTTTAATTAGTTTAGAGTTTTCTAATGAATTTTTTTGTGATATGTAATTGTTACGATATTTTTTTAATTTTTATATAAATTGTTATCAATGGTCCTATCTCCACGAATAAGAATAAGTATATGTTACATGATAACATGAAAGAAGTTGAACTTCGTAATGTATAAATGAAATACAAATTGATTTTTTGTACTCATATTGTTTCTTTTAGATCAACTTTGCTTTAATAATTTATAATAATTGACCACATTTTTTTAATAATGGAGATTTATACAAATATATTAACATTTGGGTATAAGGTAAATGGATTATGAAAACTACAACAAGATGCAAAAGTTTAGGTGAATGATAATTTTAATTGGATAAAAATAACTCAGACAAGCTACTACAATTCAGGAAATTTATAAATCAATAATAAACACATACAAAATTTAGGGTATTTAAATAAAATTTATTTTTCACTATAATATTTACATAATTCAAATTATTCGACTACAAATTTAACATTTTGCAGCTAATTTTTGAATTTGCTCCATAACACTCTCGCCTGATTGGTTGGTTAGTGGTACGCTTACTTCTTTTCCTTTCTCTGGAAAAGAAACAATAATAGTAATATATATACATATATAAATAATAATTACACAACAAATATATAATTAAAAACAGGAAGATTTTTTAACAGTGGATGATAAAAAACTATATTTATCAATAACTGGAACTGGAAATGTATGGCAGTTTATATTTAAACATAATATAGTTCTATTTTTCTTTAAAACTAGGTAAGTACTCATTAAAGATTTTTGTTTTTAGTTATATACATTTATTTTTTTCATTTACTTGTGTCATTATTATGTTTTATATATTTACCGTATCTTGCAAAGACTCTTGGTTGGACTCCACTACATTCTCTCACTAATATTGGAAAATTGGGATTGGCTCCTTTAAGCGACACATAAAACTTATTCATGAAGTCTCTGAGAAAAGAATGAATCGATTTTAAATCAATTGGGTAATAGAAATAGCTCAGGTGAATGATAAAATCAAAAAGGTAACTTATTTTAGTATATTTTTAATATTTATCTAGACTCTTCAATGATGTTAATACTATTGTTAATTAGTTATAATTAACAATGGAAAAGTAATTACTGTAATAACATCCTATTCAACTTGTTCAATTATTTGTTACAGTTGAATTTAAAAGCTGAAATATTTCTGTGAGTTTAGTTTACTGATATTTTAATCAATAATTATCATTTCAGAATAATTAATAAATAAAATTTATCAATAATTATCAGATATTTCATATCGTATATATGGACTTCAGAACATTAATTTAATAATATTAAAAATATATTTTGTGTATATATGGTAAACGAAGTAAGAATAAGTCTTACATTTTGATTCCCCTTATCTATGCAAAATTATTAAATTATTATAATTATTTCCCGTTATAATTACAAAATTATAACGGGACATACAACATACTATCATAAGTATGTTCTATAAATTAATAATTTAAAACAAATAATATCCTACCTCACTCCTTGGGAAGTTTCATGAGTCTGGCACAAATGAATACGCAATTCTTTTAAATGAGGACCGAATTTCACAGCGCGACTGGCCATTTTCTAATTATAATTAATAAATATATTTATTTATATATATTTAATTATGAATTTATTTTATTATTTCACAAATTGCAAAACGAAAGTGATGTAACTTTCGATTTGAGGTTATCACAATTCTGACAGTTGACAGTTCATCATCAACAATGGAAGGTAAAAAGAATTCAAATCGGCGCGTAATTTGAATTTTAATTTGACCGATTGGAATATGAGACTTGTTTTAAGTGAATTAAGTTTATAATAATAATGATAATATACAAATAAGCTTATAAATTATTTATTTAATAATATTTAACACAAATTTTAAGTAAATTTTCAATTTTAGGATCTTTTCAAAAACTGATGTAATGTCATCTGGCAACTTCGAGGACAAAAATCTTTTTCAACCACTGGCAACACACTTCACCAAACTTAATTAACGAAAATCATAATTAACTTTTGTCAAAACAATAAAACAGTTAAAAACACACTAAGTATGTTACATTATCGGATTGATTATTCTTAAGTAAACAGAATATATTATCTTAAACAACTATGTAGTGATATAAATATATTATTTTAGATCTCAAAACTGTCAAAACGGTAAAACCTGTCAAACTTTAACATAACCAATATGCAACAAAAGTGTTTACATGGCAAAGTGAAATTGAACAATTTTAACGTATTTTATTCAATATAATTTAGTTGTTTGATGGAATAAAAGGATTTTACAATATGGTAAGTCTATAGATAATAATATTACATTAATTATGTTATGAGTTCCTTAAAACAACATTTTTGTTTTTCATAAATATTGCATGAAACCTCAATTAATTTTCATCTTTTATTATCAAGACTGATTTAATTTATTATTTTGTAGGATTTGACACAATTTGCTGAAGAAGATTTTGATCCCGTGGCCTGGATCAATGGGATGACGATGTCTGATGATGCAAAAGATAGACCTGAGGTAATAAATAAGGATTTACACAATCACTTAATGGCTGAACATGTACAATAAAACAATTTCTATTTATCCAGTTAGTACTGTATATTAACTATATTTCTCTATAGGATATCGTCAACAATCTCTTGGGCAAAATCCAAAGTTGCATCAAGCAAGTCAGCCAGGATTTAGAAGAGACGAGCCAACAGATTTTAGTAACTCTACCAAACATAATAAAAGACACAAAGGTAAGGCAAATAAATTTGTAAGTAATTAATTGTACAATAATCTCATTTTGTGTTGTGTTCTTTCAAAGCTTTTGCAATTGGAAGCTGAGACTTTGAAAGGAAAAATGATTTCAATGAATGATGAGATTGCTAAAGTTCAAGACGAATCCGGACAATGTATGTCTGATTTGGAGGAATTGGATAAACTGAAAACAGAACTAGAGGTTAGCCAATTATTGTTTTATCTTGAACCATACTTTTTTCTAACTGGATGCTGATTAAATATATGAAATACAATTATATACATATATATATATATATATATATATATATATATATATATATATATATATATATATATATAAATAATATATGTATTACAATATCTATTTTATTTCTGTTATCTAGTCTGCCAAACAATCGTTAATGGAAGCCGACAAGTGGACTAATTTAGTATCAGACATCGAGGAGCTTTTTGAGCAAAGTCAAGTTGATGTCATAAGCGAACGTTTGAGTGCTATGGCAAAATCACTCGATATGATGGGCAAACACTTGGAATCTAGCGATAAGGCTACACAGCTTCAAGAGTTCAGGAATCGTCTTGAAGCTTTGACAAGCCCTCAGATTATGCAAGCTTTTAGCACAGGAAATATAGGTAGTTATAAATAATAACTAGCTGTAAGTGGAATTCTGTCTTAAGGCAATCAAGGCATCGTGCCTTAAGGCAAATTGCTGGAACTTCCCGTACCAAAAATTATTATTTTTTTAAAAACAATTAACATTTTTGAAAAAATTTTACTTCGAAAAAATTAGATTTTTGAGAAACTATAAATTTGACAAAAAATTACTTTTTTTTAAAAAAATTTTTTTTGAAAAGAGAAATGTTTTCTTCATTTTGACATATTTTGGAAATTATGAAGGTTTTTTCAAAGCAATCGTACTGCTTTCACTGCATAAAGACGAAATATCAAAGCGCGTAAGCGCCGCATCGCCGTCTAACGCGTAAACATTGGTACGGAACCCATAGGAATGTAAACAAAATTTATACTTATTGTTAAAATCTCTATAAAATATCTGATAATTTGATGTGCATATGTCTAATGATCATTTTTGACCGCCAAATGGCTCATTTTTTTACTTTTTCCTCCATATCTCCAAAGTCGTTGGACCTGCCTTTCCAAAATTTTGAACAGTTCTTCATTTAGTCAATACAAATAAAATGTTTTTTGAATTATTCAAATCGGACGATCCGTTCTCTTAAAAACTGAGTTACCGTTTTCTGCACTCTTTGCTCCGTATCTCCGAAACGGCTAGACCTGCCTTTGTCAAAAACTAATCAGCACGTCTCCTTATCAATACGAATCGAATGTTTTTTGAGTTATTCAAATCGGTTGATCCGTGTTCTCGAAATCGTCGACGAAAATTTGTATCCGCACACACACATACACGCACACATACATCCATTTTTTCTAAGGTATGCCAAAATGTTCAGAAACCTCTGAAACGTAAAGATATATAAAATATTTCATTTTCGATTTTTTTGCGATTACTATAACTTGCCCTAGGGGAAGTTAATAATTGGTTAGGAATTACTTATAATTGGCAATCATAACTTTTGTGTACGCGTTGTATACATCATGTAATAGTTTATTTATGTTATTAGTTTTGTATAACTGTTTTTATTTTAACTTTTTCCATTATATATTCAATTTATTGTATTTTTTTGTATTATTTCTTTTTTCGCACATATCAATTTTGTAAATAAAACATTAAAGTCTTGATTAACAAAAATAAATTATAAAAAAAAAACTTTTATAATGCCAATCACAATTATTATTGCTATTTATTGTATTTACTTTTTGCAGAACAATCAAAGAGAATGGTGTCAATTTTTACATCCATGGACAGGCTCCAACAGTTATTGAATTATTATAAAACTTATCACAAAACAAATTTATCTCAGCGCTGGCTTGAGTTCTCAGAGAGCAGCTCTTCGAATATATCTTGGCTTGAAGACTTCTATGATATTTTAGTACAGCATTGCAGGGAACAGGTATGTAGGAAATATTATATATATATATATATATATATATATATATATATATATTTTGTATGATTCTGAATTTGATGTTGACATATGTATTAACAAAGTCTAATAATCGGGCATAACATCAATAAAAAACATGAATTTCTTTCAAAAATTTATTTTAAATCCATACGTTTCGGCTATAATCCTAGCCTTCATTCAGTGGAAAAATTAGTTGATCTTAGTGTTAATTTGGAAAACTTTAATAATCCATGGTTTTAGGATATGGTAATGCACTACACTATGTATTATAAACATTAACTTGAAATTACACAATATTTTCACAAAATACTGATTTGAAAAAATCACAAATGGATAGTGTGTTATTCGTAGACTGGTTGAAGATGTAATGGAGAAAGACATTTTTTAAAAAATATTTTTACCAAGATTCTGCACATGTGTGGAACAAATTGTAAATCCTTTGCGCGAACGCTTTTATTGTTTTGTAAGAAATTTGGAAATGTTATCTAAATAGAAGAGATTTGTGTCGCACAGCGTGTTGAGTTCATTCTGTTTATTTATTGTCTTATTGTTATAAATAGTTAAAAAAGATCCCTCTATAATTCTTCGTTTAAATAAATTTTGTTCAAATTGTAGTCCATATTGTGTTTTAAAGTGTATATATGGTCTGCAAGAACAGTTTTGAATTGTTTGGGGTTTTTGGAATTGTTTTTGTGTTGTTGTAACCGTTTATTGAGGTTCTGGCTAGTTTCTCCTATGTAAATTAAATTACAGTCTAAACAATTTATTTGATAGACGAGATTTCTGAGTCGTTCAATATTAAATGGGGTTTTTGTCTTGGTAAAAATAGTGCTAGTAGTTGTACTAAAATTTATATATATATACTAGATGACTTAACAGATGTCCTGTACCCACATCTACAATTGTTTAATATCTCATACTAATATTTACCATTTACCTAAAAATAATAATTATTGTTTTTTAAATTACTCTTCACACCAAAATGCATCATATACATCAATATGAGCGATGTTAAATGTAGAACTGATTTAAATAAAATGATGAGTCTCAATTTCCATACTGTATTGGAAATTAAAGTCTTTTAAATGGTATAACAATTTCAGAAAAGAATTAGTATATATTAGGTATTCATGGTAAAAGTACAATATTACCTTGGATTTTTTCGCTCAAAATAAATGCCTCAATAATGTTGCCTATAAATTTTATAATCTCGTATCTCGTATATATTTTAACTCATGTTTAGTAATTAAAATATCTAAATTGCACTCCTGGAGTCCTCAGCGCTCGCCCCCTATCATTTTACCTGTTTTAACAATTTATTCTTAAAATTATTATCATTAAAAATCATAGAGAGCAAAAAAATTCTAGCCTTTCATTATTAAACTTAACACTGGTACTTTATTGGATTATTTTAATTTAATTTTTTATTATTTAAGTTATCCAAAATTGCATCTTAAACTTCTCCTAATTGATATCTTAAGAGCCGAATTGTATGTCTTCATCTTTACTTTCCCATTTGTTGTTTTAGAGTGAATTTCTTAACGTATTTTAAAAATATTGTGCAAAGATTAGTAAAAGATGCAAAGAAATTATATATTTCTTGAATTATATTGAAAAAAAAACTATATTGAAAATTCCATATCCGAATCTTGTGTTGGCGCCCCCTGACCGGCCCTGATTATTACTTAATTTCATATTTTAAGTGAATTAATTTGTCAAATCCTGTCCATATGCGTATCATTCAATCTGCCATACATATACTGTAAATTATATTATTTTAATTAGTAGACATTTCATTTTTCTTATTCTTATAATCATGAATTTATAAAACATATTCTAATATTGTCTAGGTTCATAAGTAAATTAAAATTTTTGGCAGATGATAGTTTTCATTTGCTTTCAGTGCCAAACAATGTCTCAAATATTTTTAATGTCAAACAACGATAAGCGGTTTTTGCATTTTTTATTATTTATTTCTACAATATTACTATATTTTTATAACCACATACATCCTAAAAAAATCCCTTAACAAGATTCAGAAAGATTTATCAAAATCTGAATATTTGTTTAGGAGGAGCATATTTACATACATCATTCCAGAAGAATTTTATATATGAAATATATATATATATATATATATATATATATATATATATACATTTAACTCAACTTGTTATTTTAGGTAAAATGGACAAGTTCTATATTATCTAGTGAGAAGGCTTGCGGATATACTGTTGTAAGTAAATTATATATGTATATATGTATATATATATGTATATATATATATATATATATATATATAAATTTATTATTTCACAGGTTGCTTTAACAATAAGTGAATTATTACAAACATTAGACCCATCTTTGAACTCCACACTGCAAAGGTGCATGAAGACGAGCGATGATAAACTATTGCTTCTATCTGATGCTGTCGCTTGTAGTAAAAAATTTGCTAATAATTTATTGAGCGTCTTAAACAACAATGGTAAGTTATAATATACATAAATGGTATTCAATACATATTAGTTTTTGATATTTTTCAAGGGTTTTGTATATTAATCCTTTTGATAAGAGCATTGCTTATGAATGACAACCTGTAGGTCGTCACAATCCAGTGTTTTTTTTTTAATTACTATATTTGTTACAACTGCTAAATAATTAATATTTAGTAACAGTAATGAATAATTATATAAATTTAATAAAAAGAGCACAAAATAAAGAATAGAATTTTCAATAAAATGATATTCGTAGTATATTGATTTAATATAAAAGAAAAGCAAATAGTAATAATAATAAAATTAATAAGTAAAATATATAAAATTTTTGAATAATGAAAATAATACTAGAAAAACAATAAAGGAGAATAAAAAAGAGTGCGCGTAAGGATCATACGCGATTGAAGTAAAACTTATTTGCTACTGTATAAAGTAGCAAATTTAAGTTGAGTAAAAATAAATACATCATATAACAATTTTGAATAATGTTAATTAGTAATATGGTAACACTCGTGTCGTCAATCATTATACACATTTATATAATGATAAATTATAATTATATATTTATGATTGCATTAAAAATATGTATAATATTTACAAACAATAATGTAATCAAAGTCGTACTTGAAATATGACATGATCGTTTTAAAGTAATTGCTGATTAATAAATTCTATAATATTCATTCACACAGTGGATTATATTAAACAACGCCTAAACAAATATTGTTTTTGCAAATTAACTCATCCTGTAACAATTGTGTTTGAAGAACTTCATACAAGAAGACGATATAATCTCATTCCTTGAACAGCTGTAATATCCGTCTTGCCTAACAAATTGAAGCCATACTTTTATATTTGTTTTATTTATCAAGCTCTGCACATAGCTTGATCTATGAATCATTTGCTTTTTTATGTGAACGTTAATGCAATGATCATCATCAATATAACGAGGTAATAAATGAACCATATTATTAATGTCAACAGGCACATTTATGATTTGGCCAAATATTCCAAATTGTCCATTTGCATGTCTCAAAGTATCTAGTTTAGGTAGATAATTTGGTATAGGTGGAAATACAAACCCCTTAAATTTACACAAAGTGGAATTTTTACCCGAATTTAATGCCTTTCAACAAGTTTGACATCCAACCTGATTATTTGAATTAATATTCAGAAATTAATTTAATAATTAATTAATTTTGAGCTTCATTTAATGTTTTTAATAAGTCACTTTGAAGCCAAAGTCGATCACACACAAAACATACATAGCCAAAGCTATCATTTCTTACGCAGCGCAGATTTTTCCTTAGTTTCATTATTTGCGATCATTTGCACTACAATTATTTATGGGGGACGGGATAAAATATTCTTCCAATCCTGACATTTTTATTAACTCACGAATCATACTGCTAACCCGTGTCGCGCCTAAAGAAATTTTACTTCAAAAAATGTTTAGAGACTACGAGCTCAAGTGAAAGTCAGTCGACATATTTTGTTTTGTTTTTTACATATGATTTGACATTTGATGTATTTTTTGTTTTGCTCGCAGACTAGATCGAATAATTGCGATAGCTGCGCTTACTAGCGTCGTAAGCGCGAATCATGCAAGCGATTACTTTACACCCATGTCGCGCCTAAAGAAGTTTTACTTCAAAAACAATAAGTGAAAGATAATAATCTAGTGTGATGTTTTTTTTTTAATATTTATATCACTCTTAGTTAAATTATTGAAAATTCTTATTTGTTATTGTGCTATTTAGATTTTTAGAAGTGTAATTTAAATTTTTCAAATAATCATTGAATCATTGAATTTATCGAAATCATTGAAAAACATCAAAAGATTTTATGTAACAGACATTTGGACCTTTTGCAGTCCCACACAGCAGTGTCTCTTTTTCTGCAACCATTCTCACAGTTAAACTAAAATTATGTTTTTTTTTGTAGGCCAATTATCGCCCGAAACCCAACTGTCTCTAGCAACATCCATCTACAGTCACCTCGTTTCCTTTGTGGCTCAATATCCATCTTTAGAGTCGACAAACCTTACAATGGCTATCAGTGCTATGCCTTGTGTTAAATCTGATGTCTCCGACACTGTACAGAATTTGTCATTGAACAATTCTAAGGTGTTGAAATTTGCTGAAATGGCTTTGTCGAGGTGTGATGTTATTACACAGGGATGCGGGTGTGTTGGACTTGCTAGGATATTAGAGGTAAATGATGTATATATATATATATAAGATTTCAAAGTAACTAGCAGCCCATTCGTCCAAATAAAATAACTTTTAGTTAAATTAGTTTTCAAATCTTTTAGTTATTCATAATTTTTTCTAAAAAAAATGTTTATTTCTAATATGTTATAAGTTTAATTAATTTTTTAAAATAAATTTTTGTTGAGTGTTTTTGTCCAGTGGTGTGTATAATGTTTCTCTATGTTATATTTAATCTATATTGGTGTTTATATTAGTTAATAAAATTTTCAAATTGTTGTAGTTGCTGAATGATGACACGCATCTTGTGTCGAAACGTATAAATAAAAGTTTTTATACTTTATACCTTTTTTATTTCGACGAATGGGCTGCTAGTTACTTTGAAATATGTTCAACATCGAAAAAACTATCAAGATATATATATATATATATATATATATATATATATATATTAGGGTTGACCTTAATATGAACATTTTTGAATTTTATTGCTCCCATGGGCTTAAATGCTTCCAAATTGATAAAAACAAATTCTCTAAAAGTTTTAGCTCCAAATATTAACATGTAGATAGTGTGCAATTCAAATCTTCGTATGAAAATAGCATGGAAATTTTTTCGAAAATTTTAAAAATGTTTTTTAGGCGACAGATGAATTAAAAGGGACAATTTGTGTCATCTTTTATTGTAAATTCGTCGATCTGCAAAATTTTTGAAAACTTTTTCATGCTGTTTCCATACAAAACTTTGAATTGCGCTCTATCTAAAAGACAATATTAAAAGCTAAAACTTTCAGAGAACTGTTTTTTATCAAATTGGAACCATTTGAGCCCTTGGGAGCAAAGAAATTCGAAAATGTCTATATTAAGGATCACCCTTATATATACATATATCTTAATATAAAATTGTCGTGCCGTAAAATCTTTACCGATTATTATCAAATTTTATATGCGTATTCAGTAGGTCTGAGAATCAGTAACTATCTATTTTTCACACCCCTAAGTGATAAGGGTAGTTCACCCTTAAATATTTTTTTTGTAATTTTTGGACGGATATTTTTAACTTCCCGTAGGGTAAGTTATTGTAATGGGCCGAAAATCGGAATTGAAAATTTTTACATTTCTCGACGTTTTGAAGGTTTCTGAACATTTTGGCATACCTCAGAAAAAATGGATGTGTGTGTGTGTGTGTGTGTGTGTATGTGTGTGTGTGTGTATGTATGTGTGGATACAAATTTCCAGTCACGTTTTAGGGCGCACGGATCAACCGATTTGAATGGTTCAAAAAACATTCGATTCCTATTGATAGGGAAAAGAGCTGATTAGTTTTTGGCAAAGGCAGGTCCAGCCGTTTCGGAGATACGGAGCAAAGAGTGCGGAAAATAGAAATCGAATTTTTGAGTGAACGGAGTATCCGATTTGAATGATCTAAAAAACATTCAATTAGTAATGATTGGGAGAAGTGTTTATTAGTTTTTGGCAAAGGCAGGCCCAGCCATTTCGAAGATACGGAGCTAAATATGTAAAAAATGGCAGTTTTTGAGAGAACTAAGCGTCCGATTTGAATGATTCAAAAAACTTTGTGCTTGTCTTAACAAAATAATTGATTTTGGAAAAAAAATTTTTGTGCCATTTTTTTTTTTTTTTTTTTTTTTTTTTTTTTTTTTTAGTTTTTTGTTGATACAAATAATTTCAACTTTGCAATTCAGTTTATATAATTCTTATAAATATTAGACAATGTTACAATATTTATAATAATCTATTTGAAAACATTCAGTATTCCTCGAACATTTCGTTACGGTACGGGAAGTTCCAGCAATTTGACTTAAGGCACGATGCCACCCACCCCACTAGTTGTTTTTATTTTTTTATAATGTGGCATTAAAAATACATACAACCCAAATTTTTCACTTTTTTATCACCAACCCCTATGTTTTTATAACCATTTTAGGAATCAGTCATTGAATATTTTTGACATAATTTTAGTTCAGATTTTTGAGCTTGAAGAATTAAATTAAATTTTACTTTAAAATACAATTTATTATTATTAAGGGTTGTCCACTCATAACATTTTTTTAAATTTTTTTGCCTAATTTTCTTTATTTTAATTTTTTATGAATTGAAATTGAAAAATACATAGAACTCTCTTTACTTTGCAATACTATTTATATTTATCAAGGGTTGTCCATCCATATTTTTTTCAATTTTGGAATCAATTTTCTTTTAGTTATAATTTGACCTTTATTTGACATAATTTTGGTTAAGATTTTTATGAGTACATGAAAATGGTTAAATGTTATTTTAAAATACAATTTTTATTAAGGGTTGTTCAATCCTAACACTTTTTTTAAGTTAAGAGTTCAATTTTTTTATTGTAATTTTTTTAATGCGGAATTAAAAAAAGCATATAATTCTTTTTACTTCAAAATACTATTTATTTTTATCAAAGGTTGTCCATCCTCAATTTTTTTTTTTAAATTTTGAGACCATTTATCTTTATTTTAATTTTGTATAATTAGAAATTGAAAAATATATGGAATTATTTCTACTTCAAAAAACTATTTTTGTCAAGTGTTATTCACCTCTAACTTTTTTTTTTAATTTGTCACCGTTTGTCAAAAAACAGTAAAGTTAAGCCTAGTTTAACAACAATATTTGAAAGTAGAGGGAAAATGATGTGTAACCAGCTATAACCTTGATTTGAAAATGGTAATCTTTGAAAATCCACAATGAAAGTATTTTCTTCCGTTGGTAGTTTTTTTTAGCATTAGTTAAAAATGTAATTATTTTGTAAAATACCTTTGAAATTAAAATAAGACATTAAACTTGTTTGCCACCTGGCCGTTCCAGGTTACCCCGTCTATGGGGTAAAAAGGTCTAGATAACAAATTTTTGAAAGACAGCAAAAAAGCACATTTCTACAATGATGAAGTAGCTGGCAGTTTTACTGAACGTAGTCAGATAATTGTTCGTTTGAAATGTGTTATTTGTTGTGATATAATTGGTTTGATTTATATAATATCATTAATATTTGCTCAAAGTCAAATTAGACCTTTGTGCCTCGCCCTGCTCTACATATATACTTTTTATTAAATTTACTTTAATTCATCGAATGTTACTTAAAACTTTTCAAAAAGCAGGTGTAAGAAGAAACACTTAATTCATTGTCTATCTCTCCTCGCAGAAATTTGAAAATTTTGTATAAGCTCAGTAGTATTATTAACAATTATACACAAAATCCAGAATCCAAAAAGAATCCGAAAAATTTGAAACGTAATCAATATGTCGAAAGACCAAAAAAGACTTGGATTGGATTATACCATGTTTTCTATAGAAAGTGTATAAAACTTTCAGGTTGATTGTATTGACAAGATATAGACAAATTAATAGGGTTTATTGTTTTTATAATACCTCATTCTATATAGCATTCAAACAGCACATCCTTATACACTAAAAGTGTTAATATTTTTGATTCTCTAGAAATTGTTTAGAATATACCTTACTTAGCAAAACAACGTTTGCCGGGTCAGCTAGTATATATATGTCTATTACTTTTTTAGGCATATTTGATTAGTTACTGTGACCAATACACAATGGCAGTTCGTCAATTGGAACGTTGCAAAACGTATGAACAAGACTGGAACACATTCCAACTGTGCATATCTCTCTTCCAAAGTCTCGGCCAATTCTACAGAGACATCATAGAGTTCGACAAAAACCTTATATCAAAATTCACAGAAACCGATAAGAAACTATCCAACGACGCAAACATATTCCATCGGTACAAACTATTATTGCTCTCCAAAGACGATTGCGATAAATTCGATAAATTCATAAGAAATTTGCAAAATTATCGAGAGGACGATGGAAAGAAGTCGAATTTTGTGGTTCCTGCATTGAATGTGGTGCTTTTCGAAAGTTTCTATGGGAAACTGAAGTTGACTTGTAGAGATTTGTATAAGGTGGTTTTCGAAAATGTTTTGGCGCCGATTGGAGTGCAAATGGAGGGTGTTGTTAAGGCGCCTGCTTGGTGTGATAGCGACAAGCAGGCTGGTGAGGATAATATTCAGGTTTTGGCGAAGGATTTGCCCGATTATAGCTATTCGCCGCAGGAGTACATAACTCAGGTAGGGGAAAAAAATAATTATATATTTGAACTGTAGATACATAAATAATTTTATTAACTTCCCTTAGAGTAAGTTTAGTAATTGTTCAAAATAAGACTAGTGGGGCGCATGGCATCGTGCCTTAAGGCAAATTGCTGGAACTTCCCGTACCAAAAATTATTATATTTTTAAAAACGATTAATATTTTCGAAAAAAAATTACTTCGGAAAAATAAGATTTTTGAGAAACTATAAATTTTTGACAAATACACACATGTATAAATGTTGACAAATGTGTTTTGAAAAAAATACTTTTTGAAGAAAAGTGTATTTTGAAATATTTTGGGAATTCTGAATTTTTCTTCAAAGCAATCGTACTGCTTTAACTGCATAGAGACGAAATATCGAAGCGCGTAAGCGCCGCGCCGTCGTCTAACGGATAAACACTTGTACGGAACCGATAGGAATGTAAACAAAATTTATACACATTATTAAAATCTCCATAAAATATCTGATAATTTGATGTGCATATGTCTAATGATTTTTGATCGCCAGATGGCATTTTTTTTACTTTTGTTACTAGATCTCCGAAACCGCTAGACCTGCCTTCACGAAAATTTTATCAATTTTTCATCTTGTCAATACAAGTAAAATGTTTTTTGAATTATTCAAATCACTTCATCCGTGTTCCCGAAATCGTCGACGAAAACTTGTATCTGAACACACACACATACATACACACGCACACACACACACATCCATTTTTTCTAAGGTATGCCATAATATTCAGAAACCTCTGAAACGTAAACATATATAAAAATTTTCATTTTCGAATTTTTTTGCGATTACTATTACTTACCCTACGGGAAGTTAATAACTATTTGAACTTTAATTACTTAAATAATTTTATTAACTTGCCGTAGGGTAAGTTATATAGTAATGGGCCAAAATTCGAAAATGAATTTTTTTATATGTCTTTACGTTTCAGAGGTTTCTGAACATTTTCGCATACCTCAGAAAAAATGGATGTGTTTTCATAAAAAAAATCCGATTCGCTAATTTTATGTTTTCTTGACGTTTCAAGCCATTCTGAATCCAATGAGACCAAATTTAAGGAAAAAGTTATGTGTGTGTGTTTTGTATGTCCGCATTTTTGCGTCCACGTTTTCGGGCGCACGGATCAACCGATTTGAATGGTTTAAAAAGCATTCGATCCCTATTGACAGGGAGATGTGCTGATTAGTTTTTGGCAAAGGCAGGCCCCGCCATTTCGAAGATACAGAGCTAAATGTGCAAAAAATGGCAGTTTTCGAGTGAACTAAGCGTCCGATTTGAATGATCTAAATAACTTTCTGCTTGTATTGACAAAACAATTGCTTTTGAGGATAAATGGAAAATTATTACATCTTTTTCTATTTTTCATAAAATATTTTTGTAATTTTGAATTAAAAACTCAAAAAATGACCCCCAGGCTATTGTTGTATGATTTACATTTGATTTGCTCAGATATAACAAGATAGCAAAAACAATGAAAGTTACAGAGTATTTGTAATAATATATTTGAAAACGTTAAAAATTTCTTGAATATTTCATTACAGTACGGGAAGTTCCAGCAATTTGCCTTAAGGCACGATGCCGGTGTGAAAAATCAGAAGTGTATTACAAATAACATTAAATTTTTCCTTTTACAGATTGGACAATATCTATTGACTCTGCCACAGCATTTGGAACCATTCTTGCTAAATCCGAATGAAAATTTGGCAGCAGCTTTAAATTTGGCGACTGATGATAATTTTAAGCCGGCTGATAATGTTAAAATTAAGGTATTAGTCAAAACAAACTTCTTCATAGTAAAAGTCATTAAGGGGCACAACTAGTGTGAAATTTTTAAAAAATCGAATTTTCAATTTTTCCATATTTCGATAGGTTATACTTTTAAAAATAACATACCAAAATTTTAAATCGATATCTTAAATAGTTTTTGAGTCACAGCCATTTAAAAGAGTATATATATAGTATATAGTACAACGATCATTTTATCTTTAAACGCGTTTTTCTCGAAACAGCATTTTCCGAATTTGCTGCAGCGATTACTCAAAAACAAATGATCCGATCGCTATCAAATTTTTTTTACATGTTCTATATATAGTTCTCCGTAAAATGAACTATCGATTTTTTGATCGGATCAAAAATCGAATTTTGGCAGTCCAAAAACGACCAAAATTTTAGGTAAAATTCGACTTTTTTTTAAAAAACGCCGCCACATTGTCAATTTTTTATTTTTTTCTTTATCGTAGGTCATTTTACAGATGATATTATCTAGTTTAACGAGGATTTTTTTTTTCGATTTCATCCACGTAGAAGGCCGGAATCACTGCAGCAGTGAAGGGCCTTTTTTTGTCGCGCCGTTGGAGATTGGCGATAACTTAAAAAATATTTAATTTTTTTCTTCAAAAATTTTACTATGTATTCTTAAAACATGTGTAAATATATTGTTAAAATTTTGAAATGATTGATAAAGTAGTTTTTTTAATCTAAATTCCCAAAAATCACTTTTTTTAGGCGGTTACACTAGTTGTGCCCCTTAAAAAACTTATCAAATGATTAGTAGACGTCCCTAATAAATAATTTTCATGATTTTTATTATGAATCTTACAATTATCTCCATATTAAGTTTTCTTCTTACATAATATGTTTGTATAATATAACTATACAATTATAATATTAATAATATTGCCTTCGGCGTTGAATAAATAAATAAATAATTATAATTCAGGTAAATGAAAGACTAAGCGGAGATATACTGTTGGCCCAGATTGCAGACGCAACATGTCAAGCTTATTCGGAAACACTTCTGACAAAAATCTGCCGATTGAACGACAATGCTTGCAGACAATTGGCAGTGGATATAGGTACACATTGTAAATATTCTATATATATATATATATATATATATATATATATAAATATATACTAGATGACCCGACAGACGTTGACCTGTACCCACATCTACAATTCCAAAGTTCCACCTTTTTTAATATCCTATCCTATACTTTTTAATATCCTATTTGATGTCTTCTGTCTTTGTGATTCATTTATGGTCTTATAAGCAGTATGAGAAATTCAGAATAAAATACACCTAAGTCTGTTTTTACACGGTCTTTTTGTACACGGTTTTGATATAACACGGTTTGAAAATTGAATATTTTTAATTTTTTTACACGAATTTATTCCATTTACCACGATTTGAAATTTCATGTACCTAGAATTTTTTTGTCAAATTAAATTTTTCGATAATTTGCGAACACTAGCTTAAAGATTTAAGTGAATTTTCTTTTAGCGCGTACAAACAATTTTTACTGGTCAAAGCAAATGTGAATAGCACTAATTTAATTCTTGTTCTTAAAAATTCTTGTTTTTCACCAATTTTAATAGGTTTTAGAGATTAGGAACAAATCACCCATTTTTGTATAAGATCAATATCTTTTTTTACACGTTTTTTTACACGGCTTCTTCTGGAACCAATCTCCGTGTAAAAACAGACTTAGGTGTAATATAGTATTTGCGATAAAAGAACAATATCACACTTGATTTTACCACAAAACATAATTGCTTCAATAATTTAGTTTATAATTTTCACAATCTCGTACGATATATTAGTTGCTTTTTGGCAATTATAATTTACAAAAAACATTTTTCTCACTAATAATTTAATAAACGTTATTGTTTATGCTCAAATCTTAAGTGAATTAATTTGTAAAATCTAGTTCACATGTGCACTATTCAATCTAAGATCAACTTGCTAAATATTCCATATCCAATGCCAAACAAATGAATTTTTGACACATGAAACAAAATTCTAAATCATTTTTTTGATAATAGAAATATTTTTGTATTGTTAAATAATTTAGTAAAGTAAACCAGAATGCGACATGCATAAGTTTAAAAAAATAATGTACATGCAATTTTGGACTTACTTCGTTATTTAGTAAACTGAATTATATAATTTCATCCGCCAAATATATACTGCATCTTATATTATCTTAATTTCTGGCACATCTCGGATGCTTTTCGGCAATGATAATGTAGACATTACATTTTCCATGTATATTATATTCTAATATTAATAATAGGAAATAATAATTAATATTAGAATCGACATTTCTAGCAGATGACAGTTCAAATGTTTTCAATGTCAAACAACGATAAGTGTTTTTTTTGTAATTTTTGCCATTTATTTCTACAATATCAATATAGTTTTATCGTTCATTAAATCTTAAACATTTTCAACAAGACAAACTCTAAAAAGAATTATCAAAATCCGAATAACCGTTTAAGAGGAGTATAAAATCAACACACTTGTACAGAAGAACTTTTATATAAGATATATATATATATATATATATATATATATATATATAAATATCTTCTATATATATAAAAATAAGTCGAGTTTTCCTTCCTGACGAAATAACTCCAGAACGCACAAAACGATTTCGACAGTTTTGCATTCGTTAGAAAGGTCTCGGGCTTTGTAAGGTTTATAGCTAAGAAAATTAGTTGTGCATGGCATCGTGCCTTAATGCAAGCTGCTGGAACTTCACGCACCGTAATTAAAAATTCGAGTAATGACATTAGTGAGAATTATCAGAATTATGCTTGGTTAAGTCAACGAGCAATTCTTGCCAAAGAATAATGATGTACACGCCCTGAATTTCACCATTCAAACAAAAATTGCTGGCGATTTGGTAACATACCAATGATTCCGACTGGTCTTCCGTTTGACTTTAAACGATTGCAATTTCCAGTTTGCCTTGCGTTCGCAATAACAAGTTGCAAGGCCAATCGCTTAGTGTTTGCGGGATAAATTTCAAATAGATTATTTGAATGGGCAGTTATACGTTGCCTGCTCACGAGTTGTAAAACCATCCGCTTTGTTTGTGTTAACGTCAGACCAAAAAACAAAAAATGTGGTTTACCAAAGAGCACTTTAATGAAACAGATAATTTGCGGATTCACTTTAATTTACTTAGAGAAGTTCAACTGAAAACCACTTCATTTTTGTAATCGAAATAAATTCATTACTGTTGTATAAGATCAAATTTTTCCTTATCAATTATAAAACAAACAAAAAATTTCTTCATCTTTCTCACGAAACCATCTGGTGGCGAAACGAAGTTCGTCGGGTTTGCTAGTATATATATATATATATATATATATGTATATATATATATATATATATAAATCTATTAGGGTGGTCCTTAAAATGGTCACTTTTGAACTTCCTTGCTTTCAGGGGCTCAAATGGTTCCAAATGGATAAAAAACAATCCTTTGAAAGTTTTAGCTCTTAATATTGTTTATAATCTTAATAATGTTTAAAATATAAGTATAAATATAAATATATAATCAATCAAACTTCATATGGAAAGAGCATGGAACAAATTTTGTAAACTTGTCAAATATGTTTTAGGTATAACTTAGCAACAAATGAATGATTTTTATTCATTCATTTGTTCTCTAAATTACATCTAAAAAACATTTTTAAAATTTTTAAAAATTTTTCCATGCTATTTCCATACAAAACTTTGATTGACTTATATATATATATATATATATATATATATATATATAATATATATTTCAGAGTACTTGGAATCTGTCCTGGAAGAATTGGGATTGAAGCATTCTCTAGGAGATTTGGTACAATGGCCTTCTCTCTTAAGATGCTCCCGAGACAATTATTCAATGCAAAGCAGTGGCAGTAATCCAAGATTAGTTAGCGCTGTGAGACAAATGAGAGAAATTACATCGACGATGTAATTGGTATGGGAAATATATATATATATATATATATTATATATATATATATATATATATATATAAAATTTATTTTAATATAATAGATTAATATATCTTGAAATTATTCAGTATAATGTAAATATGAAAATAAATACAATTATTTTATTTTATGTCATATTGTATTCAATATGTATTATGTATATGTATAATA